CAGCCCCGCGACTCGCGCAGCCCCACGCAGCCCCGCACAGTCCCGCACAGCGCCGCCACCTGCGCAGCCCCGCGCAGCGCTGCCACCCACGCAGCGACACGACCCGCGCAGCGACACGATCTGCGCAGCCCCGCGACCCGCACAGTCCCGCACCGCCCTGTCACCCCACGCCGCCCCGCCACCCGCGCAGCGCCATGGATCAGGCTGGACTCGCCAGTTTGGCCTCGGCTCAGCGAGGGCAGTTACCAGCGATGTGAACCCCATCGGGTGGCACAAGGAGCAGGAACACTGCGGAACCACTGGTGACCTGGTGACCCGCTGCCGCCTCGGTGCACCAGGCCACCCCCAGCAAACGGTGCGGAATTGGCCCCAATTCCCGTCTGGCAGAGGAGGGCAGTGCCCTTGGCATGGCACGAGTGCAAATACACCAGTGCGGATCTCCTTCAGAGACACGCGTTAGCCCAGTGACACCACTTCCTACTGGACAGAGACCCGCGGATTCCACATGGAAAAGGACATGGAGAAAGGCAGCTGCGCGGTCACTGTGCTGCAGCAGGAAAGGCCCTGAAATCTGATTTTGGCTCCTTGTCTCCTTCAGACCACAAGGGAGTTAATATTCCAGGAAGGATACTTTTTTATCCTCTGCCCCCCACAATATTTTTAAAACATATTCCTACAGATTCTGTGCAGAGGAAGAAAAAAAAATAGGAAAAAAAAAAAAGAGGAAAGCTTGATGTCTGCTGTGTGTTTTTTGGGCACGTGGGAAGGTCCTTCCTGCAGCCGATGTGCCGTCGCAGCGGCGCAGAGGCCGCGGGCGGCTGCTCCTGCTGAGGACCGTTACGGATGGTGCCCAACGGGACAGCGCCAGGCGAGCGGCGCCGGCGGGAACGTCCTGCCGGTGCCAGCACACGGGCCCCACGCGCTCCCGCTCCGTCCACGCGCCGCGTCCAGCCCGGGGCTGCCTCGGCGGGAACGCCGGGGACGTCCCCAGGGACATTCCCGCTGCTGGGCGGGCGCCTGGCACACTGCCGCCGCCACGGGAGCTCCCCGCTGGCCGGTTCTCCTGGCGGCTCCAGGTTTTTATGAACACACATTTTGATGGTTGCGTGGCGTTGGATTGGGGACCCGTTAGCATGGGTGTCCTTTCACATTGAGCTCCTGAACTGTACTGTGGGATTCTTCATGACGAGGGAGGAAACTGAGAAAAGGTTTTGGGGATTTGATGGCAGTGGATGGGAAAAGATGGAGTGATTTTCGCGTGAGGTTTAATGCAGAGAAGGGTACCAGATGGACACTGGCAGGAACAATCAAAGCCGAGACGTTTATTAAAGGCAGCCAGAAGGCCAGGATAACAGATACCTCTGAGACATCAAGATAGAAATAATGTTATTTAACTTTAAAAATGTTTCTTCCAGCAGGATGTTAACACTGTAGGATTATCTGGTAGATACACTCCCAAAGCAGAGTAAAATGACCTGAGTGGCAGGGAAATATGAATTCTCTGATTGGCATAACGGGTATGGAAGAAATGGGGTTATTATTAGAAAATAATCTCTGGGCTAATCTTCCTTGGGCAACTTGAGCCTGGTTCCGAGGGAGCAGGTCCCGGAGCTGGAAGGCCTGGGAGCACCAGCTCGAGCACCAGGAGCAGCAGCTCATGGGGGCCCTGCACGACCACGCGCTGTGTTGTGGCTCGCACAGTCTCCTTCAGGAGCTCACCCGAGATGATGGGGCCAGGCCCCGGGAGCGTCCTGGAGCTTGACATGGAAGTTACTGCACCCGAAGCACAAGGTTCGTGGTGAGGAGCCCTTGGGCCTAGCAAGGCTGATGACGCTGTGGTCTTCAGGGCAATCTCGCTGCCTTCACAACGCAGAGCCAGCCCTGGAAGCAGCGGCAGGAGTGTGGTGGCCACTGGCACCCAACATAGGGCTCCAGCTGGCCGGCCTCCCCATGACTCTGCAGTCTGGGTGCCTGCAGGGGCATGTGGAAGGAGAGGTACCATGTTCCCACCAGGCCAGTGCTGAAGGAGCATCCCGGGGTGCCCGCGGAGGCCGCTCTGCTGTGTCTGCTCTGCACGTCGCCTCTCGCGGGTCCTGCACGCGGTGCAAATGCCATCCCGCGGGCGATGGAAGTGCCCGAGGCCGCATGTCTGAGTACGCTTGAACAAACCCTGGAGTACCTGATTGGAGCATTCGTGTGTTTGAAGTAGAGGGATGAGGCTGGACATGACTTTGAGCCAGTCCTGTGGAAACGCAGGCACATAGGTCTCTTCGAGCCAAGCCTGGTCTGTAAAATTTGCAGCTTTGCAGTGTTGTTAGTTCTGGCTATGTAAGCAACATAGGTATATAAGCATTGTCAAGCTGATAAAAGGGGCCAAGACTACATTAAGAAATTCTTCCAATAAAAGTATGACTAAAAATAGGAGATGTGCTGAGATGATGGTGGAGCTCTGGTCTTTCTTTGCGGCACTAATGTGCAGGAAGCTATTTGCTTGCATTGCTGTTGCAACTTGAGTGTGCATTGCGCTGCTCTCTGAGCACGCCTGTATATACACGTGTTTTTGGCAGGTATAAACACCTTTATGCACTTTCGCAGTACATATTTTCCAAAGAACTGCCAGCAAAAGTGGGATAGAATAATGTGCTTTGGAACATGACGGTAGATGCAAGATCTTCTTCCCCTTGATTCGCTGCAAATACCCCTAAGGAGGTGCTACGTGGCGGGATAAGCAAGCTGCCACTGAGGCAGGTAAACACGGAGGAACGTGCGCTCCTCCCCAGCAATTGCAACACGGATCCCGCTGTCCTGAGGCTAGGGCTGAGGAGCACACAGTCCTCCAGACTGAATGCCAGGAGGGAGCCCCTTGACCCGATACAGGACCCAGAGATCACGCCGGCAGGCTACTCCTGCACGGTACTGCAGGCAGGTGAAAACACTGCCGTGCCCCACAAGTTACAGCTCCTGGCTTGGCAGAGGCCACGGCTTTGATCACCCTGCACTGCTTCCTGCTCATTTTCCCGAGGAGAGCCTGTGTTTGAGGCAACGCTGAAGCAGCCAGACGGCTCCTGAAGCCTTAGCTGTTTCTACTTGCCCACATCTTACGCTTGCAAAAACTTGCTGCGGAGGAAACACTTGATCCCTGTGCAACCAGCGGGCCTGAAAGGCACCGCCGGACAACCACTACCAGCATTAAACAGGGGAACAGTTGAACGGCCCTGAGATGAAGCAAGGGACCAACGGGGTAAGCCTTGGTTTAGCAGTAACTGAATAGGTCGCAAAGTGGGATCCCAAAGGCGGGATGAAAGCTGTACTGGAACAACAACAGCCTTGGGATTTTGAGGAAGAAAACGCCTCCTCTCACTCGAGCCCCCCCATGGTCAGGAAGCCAGGAATTGCTATTTTCCTTGTAAATAAACAAGGCTGTGTCAAGGAAGGAACTGACCCCATCTCCTCTTAAGGGAAACAGCCTGTGAGGCCCCAGATATTGGCTAACCTTTCAGGCAAAAATGAGCGATAACATTTTGGAGCATTGCCTCGGGGCAGAAAAGTCTACGGTGGGCCTGAAGGGGCCAGAAATCGCATAGCTGCATATAAAGCAGCTCTGCGTGCTGCTGCTGCTGCTTGTTTTGCTGCCCTTGTTTGGCCAAGTGAGGTATTTGCAATGAAGGTGGAAATAATTTTCCACTGCAGGTGACAAGATCAGTCTTGCGCTGCAAGCTCCTTGATGACAGATGACCTCTCAAGATGAATGGCATGTTGTGCACCCCCACACACACACTTCAGTATTTTCTGCGTTTACTTGCCCTCTTTCCCCAATTCTATTGCAGCCACGCTTCCTACTCCAGACACGTGGGCAGAATGATAGCATACTTGAGAAGACAGTCTTCCTCTCCAGCTTGCAAATGGCAGAGAAGCACTGAATTTTAATGTTTCCTATGCAACAAAGTAAGCAGGTCATTGGTTCTGTTGAAATAGCACATCAGATCCCTTCCGCAGGCAGCAGAGCTGAGTGGGTCACCCAGTCCTTCCCTCTACTGAAGGATTAACGTAGTTGTTCTTAAGCCAGTCTTAATTGATGGGTGTCATGTATAACCCTGAATATATGCACAGAAAGCAATCCTGCAGCCTCCCTTGGCAACCTGCTCCATTGCATAACTCTCATTTTCATAATTTTCTCCGTATCTAAACTAAATCCCATTACTTTTCTTCTTCCTGACAGCCAGTGTCCCAACCCCAGTTTCCTTGCTGACATCCTTACAGGAGTATGGAGGCAATTAGTGTAGTTCCACTCCCTCTTCCTGGTTTTGGATCCTCTCTAGAGAGCTCTGGTCCTTTTAGGTGCTCTCTAGAATGTCTCCAGTTTGCTGTTGTCTTTGAAAGAGAGGTAACAAAATTTTGCACACCAGCTGAACTGAAGGCACTGCCAAGGAAGCACACAATCCACTTACTAAATATAATGTTGCATTCTGTAGCTTTCTTTCATTATTGTTTACAATGTTCACTCAAGTTCATTTGATTCCAGTATTTGCTTCTCTTGTTTTGTGTACTTCATAGCCATCTTCTACCTGTCCTCCCTAGACACCTCGGGTGACAGGATGCACCTCCAAAATGGATTATATTTTTCCAGCTTGAAGAACTTTCATAATTTTGCCATGATGAATGCTGAGGAAACATCCTGGTTAGTCATCTCTCCCATGAGCTGATTTTGCAGCTTACCTCTGAGCTCTGAGCTGTGGTTCTTGGCGTGCACCTCTCTGCCAGGACCTGCGTGAGCCTTCGTGGCGCTGGGGCACCCCTGCACGTGCCCGGTGCCTTTGCACCAGGAGGCTTCCGTTCCTCCGGCCTCTGCAGTGACTGTTTCTGTTGTCATCTCAGCAGAGCTGCCCTCCTCCCTGTCCTCCTCTCCCCCCTCTTATTGCACATTCACTGTTAAAACTGAGGACTTGTTGTGGGCTGATTCCAAGAACTTGTTTTACTAGCTCGTTTCATCAGAAACAGTAATTGAAGCAGCTGCCATCCCCAGTCTGCACTCATAGTCAGCTGGGTAGTTAAAGGTTATTCTTCCTTCTCCATCTCTGCTCCTGACAAACCCTTAACCAGTAAATAGTGGCTTGCTCTGAGGTTTCCTATGCGTGTTAGGCTGCAATGCCAGCAAGGCTACACTTCCGAGCAAACACCAAGCAGGAAGATGCGCGTACACTGTTGGTAACAAGTGTGAATTCTGTCAGCCTTGCTTTTTTTTTTAAAACATAGAGCCCATAAAAGGGGGTGCCCAAGGGCTATTTTTGTATCCATTGTTTTGACAGCAGCAAACAGTAGTAATTGCTGCAACGTTAAATAATTAACACATAAAAGATGTAAAACGGAGTAACTATTGTATTTCTTTGTGGGCAATTTATTCTATAAACAGATTTAATTTGAGCAAATGAAAGCTAAATTTGCACCCTTGTGCTGCTGCGTTCAGGGGTGTGTGTTGGGTCACCCTAATTACACAGCCCTGGTGCCCGCCCTTGCTTTTCCGGACAGCTTGCGGAACAGGTTTCCACCTGCCGTCCCATCTGCAAGGAAGGAAGGAACTGCTGTCCCTAATGAGCACATCATCGAGCAGCTTCCCGAGCTGCTGCACACGACCAGGAGGTGTGAGATAAATGCCAGCAAGTGACGGGTTCACCCTTCGAAACCGGTCCCTCTTGCCCTGGCCCGCGGCTGCCGAAGCAGCTTCCCGCGGCCTGTGTGCGGTCACCATCCAGGGGCTTCCCGGGCACTGCTGCCGCCCTTCGGACTGCAGCTGGAAAAGGGAGAGGGAAGGGTTTACATCTAAATGAGAAGCTGGTATCACAGGGCAAAAAGTGAGGGCTGGAAGGGACGTGGCTATTTGTTTTTACTAAGGAAGCCAAACACTCTATGCATTAAAGTTTGAAAAACATTAAATAAATAGCATTGGGGCTTATTTTATTTATATTTATGCTTCCAGTGAAAGAGATTTTCCTTTGAAATGCAAAGAGATAATAAATTCAGTTTGCATTTTGCTAGTATTTTTATGGTAGCCCTACTCTGCCCCACCAGAAAACCAATCCCAAAGCAAGGTACACTCCTGAATTGCCAGCAAAAATTACTCTGTTCCTGCTGTAAATGAAAAGACCTAGTCGAGCAGGATAGTAATCATCGCCTCTTAGCCCCAAATTACACTGCTGAGACTTCCATATATCCCTGCTGAGCTTAGGTTTGTGAAAGCTGATGACATTTTTTTGCCTTACCACTGTGATGAGTTCAGAGATTTCCTCCAAAGCGAGTGACACAGAAGCAGAAGGGGAGGCAGTGCACCAGTCTGACACGCCAGTACTCAGTTGGGTAGGAGTTTTGCAATTTGACTGCTTCAAGGTCCTGCTCCTTTACAGTCCAAAGATGCATCTGTGAAAGGCTGGGCTTTATTATTAATTTTTAAAACACACTGCCTGTCTGCTTTCATTCCATACCCATTATCTGAGCGCATTAAGTGTGTTACATGCTAAGCTGAGTCAAACACAGATGCCAAGGAAAAGGAGAACTCTGCTAATCCTTGCTTTCTCCTTTTTTTTTTTTTTTTTAAAATAAAGTTATTCCAAAAAAAAAAAAAGGTAACACCAAGGAGAGAGATTTTTGGTTGTAAAGCAGGAGAATGGGACCTCTAAAGCAATCCGACATACTACATGAAAGAGAAGAGTCTGCTCTTGCATTACGGCTCCGCTCCTCTATAACTGGCCTCTGCCCTAAGGGCAGCTCCAAACGTGCTCAGCGTTTTCCTGAGCCTGATGGGCACTCGGTTTGTGGCTCCCTCCAGTAATTTAGGGGCACTGAATTTCTCATCTCTTTTTGAGGTGAATTATAGCGCTACTGTTTTGAGATGCATAAAAAACTAGGCGACTTTTCATTATAGCATAATGTTCTGAATTATTCATTGACTCACACGACAGCACACTGCGCTTGGTGCTCGTGCGAGTACCTGAGTGGCTGCAGGCACTTTGTCTTTGATTTCCCTGCTGTACTGCACTGCCAAAAAAACACTCATAAAAAAATAAAATAAAAAAGGAAAATAAAAAAGTTCCGAACCTATTATTTTGAAATAAGCAAGGCATGCCCGTTACTGCTCTCGCCACCTGTATCTTTAACAGAAATCTCCCAAGGAAAGATGCTGGGGATAATGTCATACTTTCCACCTGCCACACAAGTCACTGAGGAGGGGGCTGTCACACATATTTGGGGCTCAGATCCAGTGGGCTGAGCTGGCAGCTGCTACCGAACACACTGATTTGGTTTGTGGACTGGGGGCTGCGCTGAGATTTCGGTGTGTCCCCTGCCTTGCATTAATTGCTGGTGTTGCCAAGGCTCGTTGGCAGCTCAGGGAGCTGGAAAGTGTCTTTTTCCCCCTTGCAAATTAGCTTATTCCCCGTCCATCTGGAAAAGGATGGGTCATTTTGAGGATGGAGTTACGCTTGTCACAATTTTGGCATGTGGCACAGTGTTTGGAAAACCTAAAAAGCTGCCTGATTAAGGTGCCTGTGTCCTTGTGGCCTCCAAGGGCATTAGCATGAGGTTGATGGATGAGCAAGGGCCAGGAGCAGGATCCTGCCTTCTGCCTCCTGTTCGCAGCCCGGCGTGACCATGGGGCTGCCCTGGGCTGTTTTGGGCCGTCATGGGTCACTCACCACAGCACTGAGAACAGCCCCCAAATCTGCTTTTTGGGGAATCCAAGATCACTCATATTCATTCATTTGCTTTTGGATTCGGTCTTCAATTTCATAATTCTCCATTGTTACTTTTTTCTCCCATCTTTCTTTTAATGTAGCGTAATGCAGCATAACCTTCTAATGCATATGATGTAAAGAGCAAAACCATTTTTCTGAGAGAACACTAAACCTTTTTGACTTTATTCCCCAGAACATTTACTTCTGTAAGCTACTTCCAGGTTCTTCACTTTTTCTTATTTCCCTTTCAAGTCCTCCTTCACCCACAAGTATTCCCTTTCCACCTCTCACTTTGCATTTCTCTCTCAGTTTTGCCTCTACCTGCTCCAGTTCCTCTCGTCCTCTCCACTCATGTCCCCTTTCTGCCCCTCACTTTTTGCCCTTAGGCTCTTCTTCATTCCCTCGATTTGCCCTCTCTGTGGATTCCCTTTGTGGTTCCTCCTGCCGCCCTGGAGCTCCAGCCTCCCGGCTCCTTCTTGGCAGCCCTGTTCTGGGGTGTATCCGGGTTCCCTTCCCCACTCGCAGGCCTAGCTGGGCCCAGGCTGGGTGCGAGGACCAAGGTGGCATTGAGCCGGGGCCCAGGGTGGCCATTTACAGCTGCTGCTGCTGTGATGGGGCCGCTGCCACCCGCCAAGGCCTCGCAGCGGCCACTGCGGCCTGCAAGCAAGCACCTCGCGCTCCCCATGACCACGTTCCCCCTCACACGGACACCTCACGTGCTGGAAACCACTGGCCATGGCTTAGCCGGGCTGCAGAGCTGCTCACCGCTTCCGAAATATCCCAATTTCTGCCTCTCTGGCACAAGGAAAATGTTAATGTGATCGTCTCTACACGCATGATTTTGCCTGCCCTTCTTTCTGGCTTGCTTAGAAACTTGCTGGATGTTTGCGACTGACCCGACAGCGGGGAGCGGGTCTCAAAATCCTGCTCAGCTAATGGACAAGGCAGATGTGCAACTAGGAAGAAAGGAAGCAAGGAACACCCTCCCAGGGGAAAAAGCAATGCTGTGAGCTCTGCTGTTATTAGGCACTCCAGAACTGCCACTGAGGGAAAAGGGAAGAAGAAAGAGAGAAAAGCTGTGGGAAATCCGGCTTTAGCGCGGCCGGGCTATTGGCCAAGAGCTACTGAGAGGGAGACTTGTTTCCCTCTGGAAACTGCCCGGCTTGAGCCGCTGCTCGTCCCAAGCAAGGACTATCCTCTTCGTTTCTTCTTGCTACTCACAGTTTCTCCCAACAATTTAGACAGGCAGACTAATTAGGAAGCAAGTCCTCTGATTTCCACTGGAAAGCAAACTCGCTCCAAAGAGAGGATTTTTAGATTTTTCACTGCCTGTGATTCCAATATTAAAAGAAAGAAATCACTAAAAGATCACCATTTGGCCCTGTAGAGAGTAACTGGGATTGCTATAGCACCACTAAAGTTAATGGAATCCATACAATTAGTCTATCATTCAGCCATCCAGCTATTTTCTTTTGTACCATATAGCCATTTTGTGCAAATTACCATTGCACTAATACTATGGCATGCAGTCATGCCGAGGATGAATATCAACTCAAGAAAAAGTTCTAGGGCAACAACGTAAGATGTAAGTGAAGACATTCTTTAGCCCAGATCCTCTGCTTGCATAAATACAGATAAATGGGTGACATTTCCTTAACACAGAGGTTATAGTTAATTCATTGTGAACAAAGCATGCTGCAAGCTCCTTCCTGTAGGTGTAACTATATGCCCTAACGGGTTATGATACACCTTCTTGGCTTTGTTTATACTGGCAAACAACACTGATAGTCATAGCATTTCTTTTGTGATAATATGCAGCCACCGTTAGATCAGGCCTTTACATTTCCATTTTCCTGTGGCTTCAAGTACTAATCTCACACTGGTTTAATAATTTACTAAATTGCATTTGCGGATGTTATCCTCTTCCAGTATCTACCAAGCAAACAGTGTCCAGCAAATGCTATTTAATTACCGCTATTGTAGACACAAGGATAGAAACAATTTTAAGTAAAGAAAATGAATTCCATCCCTGCCTTTCAGTTGCTCACAACCACTTCAATTACTGTGGTGCTGTAATTGTAACAACATTTGTGAGAAGCGGAGGCTCTTCACATTTCAAATCACCCAGTCTATCTACATAAGTTTA